TGCGAAAGGCTTCAAGAGTAGATGAGACGCCAGTGCTTGGCCTGAACAACGGGAGGGATCTGCCAGTGGTACAGGGTGCTTGCTCTGCAAAGCAGGTGTCTACGTGTGTCTAGTGTGCTTGCCCATGTCTGGCCTGTTGGGTCTACCAGTATGTGGGGGATGAGGTGTGCATGTGTATGTGTGTGTGTGTGTTTGTGTGCGATTGGCTCCGAGTTGCATGGACGAGAGGTCATCCTGTATTCTCGAGAGTCGTTACAGTCAGCGCTGGGACACAGCTGGGCAACGCGCCTAGGCGATAGGAGAAAGAGTTAGGCCTGGATACTCAATCGGCCAAGACAAACGACTACATCTGTTTCTTGTGGTATAATGTTAGCTAGTCGACCAGGCTAGGACCAGTTAGCTACATTTATGGTTTGCTTAACTCCTCCTACTCAGGCCCTCATACCAGACAGACATACAGACGAACATACGAACAGACAACCGGCCAGCCAGCCGGATAGGCGTCATCTAGAACACTCCAACCAGTGGGGCATGTATTCTTTGCTCACGCTTCTCCTCTGCGTCCCTCTGCAACTGTCTAGTGTGTGTGTGTGGGGGGGTGGAAGGGGGGAAGTCTATTTACGCTAGTTTCGGTTGAAGTAGATCGTGACATGCCACTTGAAAATATAACGAAAGTGAAGAACGCGAGACGGAGAAGTGGAAAGCATATGCGAGCATGAATGGGAGAATGGGAGAATGGGAGAATGGGCCTAGTCCCTTACACTTATCGTGTAACCAAAACACTCTATAGCTTGTCCTGGTCGTACTCGATCCCAACAGACCCCACCTTCATCCTGTCGTCTACTCGACTCAAACAAACAGTGCCTCAGAGCCGTACACAGTCGCTCCCCACAAGGGGCCAATAATTTACTGGCTTAATTTTATTCGAGCAAAGTAAAGTCGTGTCAACATTACCTACTTGAGCTTGGGCCATTTCTCCAAACTGTCACAACTTCATACCACACTTGCCTACTAACATCTATTGCCCCACCCCGCAACCACTCCGAAGGGCATCCAGTAAGTTACCGGAACAATAATCAAATAAGCCATCCAACATGGCAGTCAATATGACAGTACAAGGAATGCATAAAGCCAACCAACTTTCCACACAGAAACCCAACAAAAACCATGCAGACTCAGCCAAGTAGGTCAGAAAAACACTCCTCTCAACGTATACCCCAAAAAGCCACCCAACGCGAGAACAACAAGACACCCCCCAAATTGCCCATCGGGCAAACATGAGAACAAGAAATTAGACAAGCTTAGAACCTAACCAGTCCCGAAATTCATGCCATAAGCCAGTCTAAGAGCCTATCAGAAAGTGTCCCAACCAGTACCCATCCAATATGGCACCCAATAAGCAACCCAATGGACCACCCAACAATCCATTTCGATTGAGTTGGCCTTGAAACTATCAAAGACTAAGA